TCATTCCTTGATTTTTCATTCATTTCCAGCAAACATACACAAATCTAACATCAAAACCTAAAGAAAGAGACTTCAACAACAAAGCACAAAAGAAATAAACATGGCAGATTCTTAAAGGGAAAAGAAACATATTTGGATTTGATGGGAGGAATCCCACCCACGGGATCAAGCTCCCACCATTTCCTTCACCATTTCCCTAAAAGAATCCTCTGTTTCAGAAATTTTTTACCTAAGATGGAAAAAAAAACCTAGAAAATGCACGATCTCCTTCGGTGAGCTCTAGAAATTCAGGATCCTCTTCCTCTTATTGCCACCTCTGGCAATACCCAAATTCAGACCCAAAGAACCCCAGAATCAACCAAAAGAAAAATTCCGCCTTCAATCTGATTTTTTTTCTCTATATATACCTAAACAATAAAATAAAATAAAAATAAAAATAACATAAAAAACTTCTTCTGAGTGTTGGAATTATTGCTAGAAACGTGGCAATCAAATCTGCAGAAATGAAGAAATGAAACTGCCATGAAATGGCAGCAATGGGGCTGAAAATTGACAGCAAATGAAGCTGCAATTTTCAGCAAATATGGCAGCAATTTAGCTGCAAATATGGTGAAAATGAAGCTGTAAAATGACAGCAACAATGTGCAGCAAGCTGAGCTGCAATGTTGATGAAATGAGGCTGCAACGGGCAGCAAATGCAAACAGCAAATGAAATGCACATTGAAATGCAAATGCAAACTCAAATGCAAATGAAATGAAAGCTGCAAAGTGGCTGAAGAGTAACAGCAAGCATGCGGGAAAAGTGGCTGTTATTGTTCAAATTTAAAATGTACTTTATTGTTTTTTAATGTAGAAAGTTATTTGAATTTTGAAATGTTTGTATTCTCCTATATATAGGAGAGTTTGTTAATGAGAAAAGATGAGTTGAAGTGATACACTTCTCTCCATTTCAGCTTATGCTCTGTTTTTTCATCTTCCTCTCGGTTCTCTCCATTTCTTTGTTTTAAAAAACCCAATACTGAGGGTGCTGATTTTTCTGGTATACATTGTCTTTTCTGCAGGTGAGGCAAGGATAGGGTTGTAGAAAGCAGGAGTGTAGAGGCCCGAGATTGGGGGTGGCGCGCGGTGTGTAGGAGGCATGATTGCCAGCAATGGGGCGCAGAGGAGGGAGGGCGCAGGCTCAGTGCAGAGGGGGGTATGATTGCTGGTGATGGGGGGAGGAAGCTGACTCGGTGCAGAGGGGAGAAAGAGCTGGTTCGGTGCAGAGGGGGGTGGAAGCTGGTTTGATGCAGAGGGAGGTGGAGGCTGGTTCGATGTAGAGGGGAGAGGAAGCTGGAGATTGATGCAGAGGAGGGTGGAGGCTGGTTCGGTGCAGAGGGGGGTGGAAGTTGGTGACTGATGATGAAGAAGAAGGTTCGAGATCCCATTTTATTTTTTGTTTATTACTTTTTCTTTTTCTTTTTTTTTTGGGTTTGGGTAGTTGGTGGGCTTTGGGTTTTTTTTTTTTGGGTTTTTGGGTAATTGGGTTTGAGTTGGGGTTCGGGTTTTGGTTTTGGTTTGGGTTTGATGGGTTTTGGGCTAGAGTTGTAAATTCGTTTTGGTGAACTTCACCCCTCCAACTTTTGATTTCTTCAATTGAGTCCCTTGTTTTAATTTCTTTCATCTCCCTTTTCCAATTTTCTTCACAAAAATCCCCCATTTTGCTCATGAACCTAACAAGAAAAACAAATACAAAACATATTAGTTAAAAAATAAAAATAAAATAAAATTCTACTAAAATTTGAGTTATGACAGTTAGTAGCAATTTAGGCCCAAAAATTCAAAAGCCTTAAAACAATGGCAAAACCTTGGTTTTAGCCCTTCATCTTATCAAGTTTGAAGGTTTTAGTCCCTCACTTTGTACTATGACACTTTTAACCCCTTCCCTTACCTTACTAGATTTGTAGGTTTTAGCCCCTCACCTATTAAAATCGAAGAAAATAGCCATCACTTTATACTAATTATTAACTCTATTAATTGAAAATATGTTTTTGTCAACTAACAGTCAATTAATAGTTAGTTAAGAAAATTAATGAAATATTATAAAATTAGTTTTATTAACTCTATTAGCTGAAAGAAGTTTTTGTCAGCTAACAATCAACTAACAATCAAATAATAAAGTTAACAATCAGTTAACAGAACTAACAAAATGTTACAAAGTGAGGGTTATTTTCTTCAATTTTAATAGGTGAGGGGCTAAAAGTGTCATAGTATAAGGGGATGGGCTAAAACCCATAAATTTAGTAAGGTGAAGGATTAAAAGTATCTTAATATAAAATGAGGGGCTAAAAGCTTCAAGCTTGATAAGGTGTGAGGCTAAAAATAAACTTTTGCCTAAAAGAACATGGGGTGAAAAAATTAAAACAAGTAGATAATATATATATATATATATATATATATCAATTTCAAGAAGAAGGAGACGTTACCTCTTGGCATTCTTCTTTGTTAGTCTTACTTCGAGAAATTAGCAAACAAGGAGTCCATAGTAGTAACAACACATAATTGAGGAAGAGAAGTCCAAGTAGCAATTTGGCCTTGCTCTTATTCTTAGGGGATTGGTTTTCTCATTCCTACTTAATTTTTTAATGTTTCTTTGCTGGATTTCCCCTTTAATTTTTATGGATGTTCTAAACTTGATTATATCTGGTTAAATTACTTGGACTAGGATTAGATGGATTCTAATTCTTGGATGGTGTGTTTGATTTTAGTTTAATTCAAGACCAATTAGTTATTCGCATGATATTTTATGTTGTTGAACTTAATGCATTGAAAGCCTAATGACCTTTCAATTGATTTAGTAATTTATGTATGAACTAGAGAAAGAATTGTGTAAATTAAACCAATAATAATATAAACCATGTGTTAGACTCTGAAACTGAGAAATAATTAGCATCATATGTGGTAGTGGATGAAGTGAAGAGAGTTAAGAGCTCCCCCTTCTTAAACTAGAGGTTTCCATAGAATTTAATACTCACTAGTTTGTTTTAAATTGCATAAAAATACGATTAATCTAACAAATAAGGGAAGGATTAACTTGATTTGAGAAAGTTAGTTAATTAATTGAGGGAAATTCGCTATCTCGTGCGATAACATTGTTATTTGAACTTGAAATTAATTAAATAGTTATGTAATTTAGAATTAAATGAAATCTAAACCCTAGTTCCTTTTACTAAGAAAATTCCTCTAGATGAATTAGTTTAACTCTATTAAATTAATTGACTAATTTAACTTAGGCTAGATTAATATTATCTTGGTGGTGTAGAATAGTCTTCGAGGAAACAATATCTTACTCGTCTTATACTACATAATCAATTAGGTTCACTTGCCTAAGGGTGGTGTGCATTTGATGCATCAAGTTTTTGGCACCATTGCTAGGGAGTAGTCATTGACACATTAAGACTAATAATTTGGCCTTCAATTGAATTGTTTTTATTATTAATCTTGCTAGGTCTTTTTTTTTTTTTTTTGGAGAAGTTAGTATTTAATTTACATATTTCGTAGTTCTGTTAGTTTCTTATTTTTTATTCTTTATTGATCTTAGTTTATTTTATTTTTAATTTTTTTTTTGTTATAGGTTTATTGGTGCATGACCCACACTAGTGGTGGTGATCTTGTTCTTTTTGACCTAGAAATAAAGAGAGCTTTTAAGAAAGCAAATGAAGAACATCATGCTAGGAGAAGTTAACAATTAAATGATGCACGCATTCTTAGTTCATATGCCATTCCATCTATTGAAGGAAAAACATCGAGCATTAAGAGGCTGGCAATTCAAGTTAATAATTTTGAAATCAAACTAGCTATCATTCAGATGATCCAACAAAGTGTCCAATTCAGTGGTTTGCCTAGTGATGATCCCAATTCTCATATTTCTAATTTCCTTAAAATTTGTGATACTTTCAAGCATAATAGTGTTAATAGTGATGCTGTTAGGCTTAGATTATTTTCATTTTTTTCCATGATAAAGCCAAGAGTTGGCTTAACTCTTTTCTTGTAGGTTCTTTTACCACATGTAGACTTGGCAAACAGATGAGTTAGGTTGGGTTGGGTTGGGTTAGCTCGGGTGACGAGTTATACGGGTTAGGTCACCAATGGGTCACAGGTTGAGAAAGACCAACCCTAACCCAACCTTAATGGGTTACAAGGTTAACCCACGGGTTGACATTTTTGTAAGTCACTAAATAAGCAAAAAAGTTAAAAAACAAAAACTAAAAGAGAGATGAGGCAATATTGTAAGTCACATAAAAAAATCACAAAATGGAATCAAAATCAATAAGAAAGTGGAATAGAATCAACAAAAAATTGATAAATCCAATAAAATAGAATCTATTTTAGATAAAAATAGAATAGGATTTCAAATGAAATTAAGTTAAATAAATTCAAATATTAAAACTGAAAATTGAATACAAAAACATTCAAAATGAGAATATATATTTATATGAAAGACCCATACCTTGAACAGGAAAGGATTTGGCTTGAGAGAATGAGGGGGGGTGGATGAATGTTCAAAGGGAGAGAAAGCATTAAAACAAGTGGTTGGTGAAGTGGTTGAGATAAGTGAGGGATATGAAGGATTTGAAAGGGAAAGATGCAAAGTCTAGCGTAGAGGGTGAGTAGAGATTGGGGCTAGGGATTTTTGAGCACTGAACTAAATAAAGAACGAAGGTGAAAGAAATTTGCAGTGAGTCGGCGAGGTGGAGTGGAGGTGTGAAATTAGCCATGATAATTAGCAATAAATAGGGTTAATTGGTTAATAAAAAAATAATTTTTATTAATAATAATAAATAAGGCCATTACTATTATTATTGGTAATAAATATGGTTAGTAAATTTAAGAATAATTTTCTTCCAAAAACGAATTACGTGGGTCAACCTATCAACCTGTGGGTTGACTTATCCGTGACCCATGACTTGTTCGAGTCAAATTTATGGGGTACTAATAGGTCACGTGTTGAAATATGTAGACCCTAACTCGTTTTTATGGGTTAGGTTTAGGTCGGATTCATGGGTTGGGTTGATTTTTGCTAGGCCTAACCTCATGGGATGCACTAGTAGAAAAATTTTTGGCTAAATTATTCCCTCTTTCTAAAACAGCTAAGAAGAGAAATGATGATGTACCAGTACATCATCATTTCTCTTAGGCAAGTGAATCTAATCGATTATGCAATATAAGTTGAGTAAGATATCGTTCCCTCGAGGACTATCCTACACTACCAAGACAATATTAATCTAACCTAAGTTGAATTAAGTAATTAATGGAACAAAACTAAACTATTTAAACTAAAGGAATTTTCCAAGTAAAAGTAAACTAAACTATGAATGTGAAAGAACTAGGGTTTAGATTTCATTTAATTTTGAATTATGCAACCGTTTAATTAATTTAATTCAAGTTCAAATAATAGTGTTATAGCATGAGATGGCAAATTTCCCTCAATTAATTGACCAGCTTTCTCAAGTCAAGCTAATCCTTCACTTGTTTGTCAAATTAATCATATCTCTATGTAATTTTAAACAAAGTAATGAGCATGAAATCCTATGGAAACCTCTAGCTTAAAAAGGGGGAGCTTCTAACTCTCTTCTCTTCCTTCACTACCCCATGTGAGCTAATTACCTCTTGGTCTCATAATCTAGCACACAGTTTATACTATTATTGGTCTAATTTATGCAATTCTTTTCCAAATTCATGCATAAATCACTAAATCAATTGAAAGGTGATCAGACTCTCAATACATTAAGCTCAATAACATAAACTCATCATGCAAATAACCAATAAATCTTGAATTAAACAAAAAAACAGTCACATAATCCAAAAATTAAAATCCATCCAACCCTAGTTCAAGAAACTTAACTACACATAATTAGGTTCTTAATAGCCATTAATAAGAAAAACCAACGGAGAATCATTGTAAAAATCAAACTAAGAATTAACAAAACCCGTCCCAATGAAGAGAAAAGTCGAATTGCACTTCATCGTCAATGGTGTGCTACTGTGCAGATTTTCCCAAGCAAGGCTAGTAGAGAAGAGAAGAAAACACAAAGGTTGTTGAGTCTACGTCTACATTGTCCTCCTCTGCAAATTTTTGTGAAATAACATCAGAGAAGAGAAGGAAAATAGAGGCGGCTCAATCTTGGGGCAGGTGGCGACCTTTTTGTTTCAATTCTGATAAGCAACACCGAAGAAAAGAAGAGAAAACAAAGGCTAGCTGCATCCTTCTACAGTTCTCCAAACAAATCTGGCATCGTCTCTTCCTCTTGCGTAGAGATGTATATATATAATATTGCCTAATTGTTTCTTTTTTCTTTCTAGCCCATATTCTACTAGGGCTTTTGAACCTTTTAGGCCTGGTATGCCATCAGCCCTTCTTTTTTTTTTTCTCTCCTCTCGCAATTTGCCCAACCTTTCTTCTATCAAACCCATGCATTCAAAACTGGAAATCTGTCTTGAAATTGATTGAATTGGGTTGAGCTCCTAAAAGATAAATTGTAACTTTGCTTCTTAGCTTTCCAATGCCTTAAAAATCACCTTAATTCGATATCTGGAGAGAAAGTTATGGTTAAATTACTATAGCATGTGCAAACTATCATTTGTTGAAAATTAATTTCTATTAAATTTGTTCTTTAATCTGCACCTACAAAATACTGATATTAATGTAAATTTAGATGAGACTAAGTTATAAAATACCCATAAAATATTTCCAAGCTAAAAAGAATGGTAGATAAATGTCTAAAAATTAAACTCATCAAATGAAATCACTATTTTTTTTCAATTTGATAACAAGTCATTATATGAGTCATGGGAAAGATTTAAAAAATTTCTAATGAAGTGTCCACACCATGGTTTACCCGTTTGACTCAAAGTGCAAATTTTTTATAATGGTATAACTTTTCCTAACCATTCTATGATTGATGTAGTTGCAAGAGGTACCATTATGAGTGAGACACTAGAAGAAGGCTATAATCTTTTGGATGAAATGGCTTTTAATAGCTATCAATGGAGTAGTGATAGAACTACCAAAAAGGGAATTGGTTTACATAATGTTGATACTTTTACTTCCTTGTCTGCACAAATTTCTACTTTTACTAAAAAGTTGGATAGTTTTGGAGTATCAGCAATGAGTGTTTCTTCTAATATTTATTGTGAATTATGTGGACAATTTGGTCATTCTAGTGTTGAATGCCAAGTAAGTAATTCATGTCTTTCTTCTAATAAGCAAGCTAATCTTGTCTCTTCTCATGGTTGGCCTAATTTCAATCCATATTGTAATTCTACAATCTAGGATGGAGGAGCCATCCTAACTTTTCATGGAGTAATAACAAAGCTAGATTACCACTAGGTTTTCAACAACAAAATCAACAAAAAAGAAACTAGATTTGGAGGAGTTGGTGAAAAAGTTTGTTAGTATTATAGAAGCAAGGTTTCAGAATCAAGAAGTAAGGTTCCAAAATCAAGATGTAGCTATTCGGAACATAGAAACTCAACTTGGATAGATTGCTAATATGGTTTTTGGAAGAGCTCAAGGAGGTTTGCCAAGCAATACTAAAAAGAATCCAAGGGAGCAACTAAGACTATCACTTTGAGGAGTGGAAAAGAACTTAGAAAAGTTGGAAAATCAAATGAGAATGAGGAAGGTGTGGAAGTTGGTGATATGAAGCAAGAGGAACCATCTAAGAGGCTTTTTCATGATCCAAATGTCAAATCTTATAAGCTTAAAACCCTTTTCCTCAAAGATTTTTGGAAGCTAACTTGGATAAACAGTTTTCTAAATTTTTAGAGTTGTTTAAAAAGTTGCATATTAATGTCCCTCTTATTGATGTTATTTCATAGATGCTAAGTTAGGCAAAATTTTTGAAGGAGATCCTTGCAAATAAAAGGAAATTAGAGGAGTTCAAGATGGTGAAGTTAAATGAAGAATGCTTAGCTATCTTTCAAAATAAGTTACCTCCTAAATTGAAGGATCCAAGGAGTTTTTATATACATTGTATTATTGGCAATGTTAATTTTGATAAAGCTTTATGTCATTTTGGTGTGAGTATTAATTTGATGCCTTTTCATGTGTTCAAGAAACTTAGATCGGGAGAACCTTCACCTACCACAGTCTCTCTTCAATTGGTAGACAAGAGCATTAAATATCTAAGAGGAGTGGTAAAGGATGTTTTGATAAAGGTTGACCAATTTTTTTTGTTGACTTTACTCTTCTTGACATGGAAGAAGATTTTGAAATGCCTTTAATTCTTGGAAGACTATTCCTTGCTACTATAGAGCTCTTATTGATGTTGAATAAGGAAAATTTAGCCTTAGAATACATGATGAGGAGATAGTTTTTAATGTATGTGAGGCTATGAGAAATTCAGGTGATGATGGAAATGTAGTTTTAAGGATCGATGTGGTAGATAATTTAGTAGCTAAACATTTCAATGCTTCTAGATTAGATGATCCGATTGATAATTGTATTATTAATGCTTTGAATATGAAAGTTGACTGTGTAGGTGTTTCCTCAAAACTCCTTAAGTGGCTTCACACCTACGAAATTTGGATGCGGGCGTGTCACTTACTTTGCTGAAAGCAAGAAAAAAAGATTTTCCCAATGACCCTTTCCTTCTTCACAATTGACCTCTTTGCAGATGGCAGTAAAAACGTTGCTTTAAAAGTAAAATCTACGTCTACATACGATTTGCAAAAGGGAGGGATGCCTTCTTGCAGAATGGGTTACTAAATTTGCCTTCTACAACTCCAAGGACTTAAACACTACTGTGAATCTAAGTTAATAGATCCTAAACAAACTAAATGGCATGCATATTAAAGTAAACTTGCGAGAACAAGATGTATCCAAATTAAATTAGACATGTTCATTGTCAGATTAAACTATTATCTATAGATAGATTTAGAAATTAAGCTAATGTAGAATTGGAGATCTAACTTTAAATAATACTAAAGCAAATACGAACAGGGACTAAATTAACATGCTTGAAATTGAGAAGAAGTGTGAACACCATATAACTAATCATTTGATGAAACATTACTTATCATAAACATTAAACTAATGCCACCTTGTAGAAATTCAAAGCTTGATGTTCATTACATGAAACGAAATTGTTGAAGCAATTATGCAAACTAATTTGACTACTAGAATGATGAAAAGCAACCTAAATCTACTAGGAATTGTGTTGAAGTCTGTAAGCAAAAGTGAGCAATCGTAGGGAAATTGAAAGTTTGAAAATTTGTCAGGTTGTTTGTAGGGCTAGTCGTGTGTTGAATGATAAAAAAATTTTCTTTTGTTCTCCTCTTCTTCGTCTACAACTCCCACTTTCTGCAATTACTAGAATCATGGGTAGTTTCTTGAAAAAGTGGGACACTTCAACAGTTGATAGAGTTAGAATTCCTTCTAGATTTTGCTACCTGTCCCATTATCAGCTAACCCATACCCATAACTGAAACCAACTCCTATATTTCAACTAAAACAAACCCAATGTGACTCAAATAGGCAACCAAAAGATAAAATCTTATCGTTTCATCTCCTTCTTTCCTATGTGATGCTTGATTTGTCACAAGGCTTAGAATTGCATATCTAACATGGCTAAATCACCTCCATCCATTTAAAAATATTTGACACATGGTATGATTTTAAATTTTTGCAATTTATGGTGTAAACAGTAGGTAATAACATTTTGGAGGCAACAACTATTTTTAGAGAAAAATGCAATGCGCAACAATAGAGAGGAAGCAATTTTCTGCCCATAGATCTTCATCTACTATGAAAGTCAAGCTATCTAAAGAGGAGCCTCATACTCTTGAGTTAAAACCTTTTTCTTCTCAATTGAAGTATGTTTATTTAGGTGATTCAAAAACCTTACCTGTAATAATTTATATTTCTTTGACAATAATTGAGGAGGAGAAACTCTTAAGGGTGTTGCAAGAACATAAAGGAGCCATGGGATGGAGCATAGCAGATATCAAGGGAGTTAGTCCTTTGGTTTGCATGCATAAAATTTTAATGGATGATGGGTTCAAGCCAATCGTTCAACCACAAAGACGCCTTAATCCTATCTTGCAAGAGCTGGTACAAAAGGAGGTAATCACATGGTTGGATGCAAGTGTTATTTTTTTTATATCTGATAGTACTTAGGTAAATCCTGTTTAAGTAGTGCCTAAAAGGGGTGGGACAATTGTGGTGAAAAATGAAAATGATGAATTAGTTCCCACTAGAACAATAACAGGGTGAAGAGTGTGTATAGACTATAGGAAGTTTAATAAGCTACTAGGAAAGACCATTTTTCATTGCCCTTTATTGACCAAATGATTGAGAAACTTACTGGATATCCATACTATTTTTTTAGATGGTTATTCTGGTTATCATCAAATTCTTATTGTCCTAGATGACCAAGAAAAAAAAACATTTACTTGCCCATATAGTACTTTTGCTTTTAGATAATTGCCTTCTAGGTTGTGTAATGCTCTAGGTACGTTCCAAAGATGTATAATGTCTTTATTTATTGAGTTTGTTAATGAGTTCATGAAAATTTTTGTGGATGATTTTTCAATTGGTGGCTCTTCAATTGATGCATGCTTACATAATTTGTCTAGGGTGCTTAGTAGATGTGAGGGAACTAACCTAGTATTGAATTGGGAGAAATGCCATTTTATGGTTAGGGGAGGTATAGTGCTAGGCCATAAGGTATCTTCTAAGGGTATTGGAGTGGATTGAGCTAAGGTTGAAATAATTGAAAAGCTTGTCTCTCTCAAATCAATTAAAAAAATTAGAGGTTTTCTTGGACATGTAGGTTTTTATCGGATGTGTATTATAGACTTTTCAAAAATTGCTAGGCCTCTTACTAACCTCTTGGGTAAGGAAACACCATTTTTATTTGATGATGATTGCATGAATGCTTTTAAATTGTTGAAAGAAAAATTGGTTAATGCTCCTATTGTGGTCGCACCTTGTTGTGATTTGCCTTTTAAGATTATGTGTGATGCAAGTAATGATGCTTTAGCTGTAGTTCTAGGACAAAGAAAAAAAATTTCACACTAGTCATTTTGCAAGTAAAGCAATGAATTATGCTTCAAAGAATTACCCTACTATTGAGAAAGAGTTGCTTGTTTTGGTGGTTGCTTTTGGACAGTTTAGTCCTCACCTAATTTGGTCCAAGGTAATTGTTTATACTGATCATTATGCACTTAAATATTTGCTTGCTAAAAAGGATGCCAAACCTAGGTTGTTAAGATGGATTTTGTTGCTGCAAGAGTTTGACTTGGAAATTTGGGATAAAAAAGGTATAATGGTGACCAAAGTATTTTCTTACTGAGTTGTTAAGAGTTCACATAATGCTAAGGGAACTTTTAAGGTGAACAAGCAAAGGTTGAAACTTTATGTTAAAAGTGGTAGTTTTTCTACATTTAACTTCACCATTTTATTGAAGTATCCTTAACAGTTTTGCAATGGTAATCAAGTCAATGACTATAAAGAAGAGCTTAATAGAGGGCAACCCAGCACTAAAAAGAAAAAACAAATCTT